GAGGAGGGCTGCAGAATAGCTGTGGGAGACTGGGTGAAAGCAGGTGGCCGTGGGGGGCAGAAAGAGCCAACACCCCAGTCTGATCCTTAAAGATGACCTAAGGAGGAGCCCCCAGGTAGCCAGTAGAAATATCTGGAGAGGACATGCCCAGTGAGGGTGAAGATCTCTGGACTTGACCTGTCCTGGCTTCCCATCCCACCTCTGACTTGCTTTTCTGAGCACCAGTTTTCCCATCTGTAAAATGAGTCTAGTGCAGCTGCCTCACAACCTGCCTGTATAAACAAGGGCAGTTCAGCATTGGCATGGTACTGGCCTCTGGCTTCACCTCTTTTCTCTAGGCCTCATTCTCACCCATAATATGGGAGAAAGGCTGATTTCTTCCTCAGAAACTGTCAAAAGGAGTAAATGCAGTGAACCTTGTCTGCACTCTCTCCAGTTTGGTGCACAGTAGGTGCAGCCTGAGTAGAGGGTGGCTGTTACTAATCCTGTTACCCACCATGGACTTAATGACAGCCTTTCAGGGGGAAAAAAAAAAGACTTAAACTGTGCATGGAATTAAAAAATACAAAGATGCTGGCTGGGCACAGTGGGTCACACCTGTAATCCCACCACTTTAGGAGGCTGATGGAAGAGGATTACTTGAGGCCAGAAGTTAGAGACCAGCCTGGCAACATACCAAGACCCCATCTCTACCAGAAAAATAGAAAAATTAACTGGGCATCGTGGCACATGAATGTTATCCCACTACTCTGGAGACGAGGCAGAAGGATCACATGAGCCCAGGAATTTGGGGCTGCAGTGAGCTATGTTGATGCCACTGCCCTCTAGCCTGTGCAACACAGTGTATATCTCTCTCTCTCCTTTCCTCCCTTTCCCCCTCTCTCCCCCTATCTTCCCCTCACTTTCCCTCTCTCTCTGCCCCACACATGCATACATATGTATATACACAGAGATGCTAGAAGGACTTAAACAAAATGTTTGCTTAGTTTACCTTCACATTCAGTGCCAAAGAGTCTGAGTGATTCTGGGTCAGGCAGGATCTGGCTGCCTCCTGCTGTGTGGATGAAGGACTATAGGGCTTTCTGGGCCTTTGCTCCATGTTACACTTGGAGTTGATGGTCTCTCTCTCTTTTTTTTTTTTTTTTTTTTT